TTACGTAGTCGAACAACGAAGTACACAACCAACACAACGAAACGTAACGTAACGTAAACTAAACTAAACTAAACCAACCTACCCCTACCCCCACCCCTCCTACTACAACAACAACACCACCTCTCTCTCTCTCTCTCTCTCTCTCTCTCTCTCCTTATCAACTATGTGCATGTGTATGCACGTGATATTCATCAATCACATCCATGCAAGACTGAATCTGCTAGTTGCACCATAAGCTAATGAGCCAGACCACAACAGGACCCCTTGTACAGTTAGTAAGCCAAAAATATGGACCAAGTTGTACAGAAAAGCACCGTAAAGGGAAACATAAAATACCATCGCTCTAGGCTAATAAAAGCTCCGTAAAGGGAAACTTAAAAGACCATCGCTCTATGCTAAGAGAGGTATGGCTACAAAGTTCGGGAGGAAGGCTCTGTTTTTGGCAAGGCTGTCTGCTAAGGCATATACCTGCTAGGTCATTTGCTTGTCGAAGGTAAAACAGGCAGAGTTAAAAAATTTCTTCAAAAACTTGCGCTAAATTCCAGGTCGAATCGTAACCCCATCCACCCAGTTGACGGTATTCTTGCAGTCATCCATTACCACTAACCAAGAAACCAAGAATGAATTATTTTAGCCCAGCCAGCACAGCCTACACATTGGCATATTTGAAAGTACCATTGCAAATGATCCTTGAGAAAGACGATAAGAGTGGTTGAGGAGCTATTCCTATATACATCGCTGATGCCAGCCAGCTCTGGGTTGCCAAACGAGCAACCGTCAAAGTTTAATTTGATAGTGGCTGGCTTCGGGATAGACCTAGGTTGGACCTAGCAATGACGACCAGTTTAACAGAAAGCCTGAGGTTGAGTAACATTGGGACACTTTCAGCTCTGACCCACTATTACTGCCAATATCGTTCTATCCTTCACGAATTCATGGCTGAACTCCATTCCCTAACAGTTCCCCTGTTAGGTTTCACCACAGCATTACCAAGAAGTCTTATACATTTTAAGAAAACAAATTCTACAGTGACCCAACCAATATATGTAAATTTAATGAGAAATATTAAACTTAATATATCTACATACAATTTAAATAAAAGCACGCAACATGTGTATATTGGATTTCTATAATTGCTAACGAAAATATCTTGACATTAAAAGGGGATTTAAATAACGAGTTGAGAACTATACAATTAAAGTTTAAAAATTAAAACAGTAGATCAGCAAAATAGCAATTTGGAAAATAATCCTCCAACACTGAGACCAGCACTTGATATCACATTTCAAGCCATACATTAGCCAACTCAATTAACTTTCCAATTGCATATTTAAACAAAATCTCCAGGACACTAACTAATTCTAAGATATCCTCTAGTGCATCTGCAACTTCAAGGACACACTCATTGATTTGAAAGAAGGATTGGCAATCCTCAAATCAAGTAGCTCTGAAGCCTGGCCCCAAAAATATAATGGGGTTTCAATTTGGCAGACTTTGGCAGATATATCTATGACTGGTAATCAATCTTACAATGTTTATGTTTCATATATTATTTTTTTTTGGTTTTTATGTGTATATTCTTAATGAAAAATTTTAGATTTGGTTCAATTTCTTCAAAATACTCTAGCTCAATATCTAGATATGCTTCATTTCACCTAGATCTGGTTTTTGTTTGTTGATCAACAGCTAGAACATTTATTTTTCTTTGAAATTGTACTTTATCTTTCAATAATATGTAGAAATTATTTCTAAAAACAGGGAAAATGACATAATTATTTACTTTAGCATGGAATATGTTTGTAAAGATATTACCTTGTACAATAATACTTTGTTTTGCCAATTTATTCTAGATTTATCATTAATTCTTCTTAATTTTTCAGTTGTTTTCCTTTTTTTTATTTTCCCCTACGTTATTCTTTTTCCTTTTTTTGCATAAAAATGCTTTCTATTTTTTTTAAAAAAATATATGTTCGCACAGTTGATGCTTCTAGGGATGAAACCCTCAGCCAAACGCATTTGGTACTGGCACAAATGACAGTTTTTTTGAGATATATTGCAAACAAGTAATTTTCTGGGCATTGAAATACTATTTTTTTTACAACGTGTTTGCGTTTGATGCTTTTAAAGATGCCAATCCCCACCCAATGCATTATATTTGGGTGAAAGAATGATTCTTTAAAATTTTGGAAAGGGTAATTTTTTGGGCATTGAAATTTATTTATTTTTATATGTGTATGAACATTTGATGCTTTTAGGGACACCCATCGCCACCCAGAAGCATCCCATTTGGGTACAAAGAGAGACTTTTTCAAGAATAAATTGGAAATGAGAAATTCTCAAAAATTGAAATGCTCGTTGTTTATTTCCTTCTGTTGAAAAATTTATACATAGGTTGAAGTTCTAAGACTGCTTAACTGCGAGTTGCTACTTGGCATACCTTTAAAGTTTCAAGTATGTCGCAGGCAAAGGAGGGTCTGGTTTGGGAGTATTGGGTCAGGGTATTAGCCATCATGAAGGATTTGGTAAATGAGTATTCTGTGCAAAGTAGTTGAGTAGCAATATCATCCGCTGAAAACATCACCAAGTGAAGGTGAAGGGTGATGTTGTGCCCTACATGACGTAACACAACAAATGTCCCAATTATCACAATGGCCAAGGAGAAGAATCACAAAAAAGAAGACTGTTAAAAAATTTGGTAGCCAATGCCATGGCTCTACACAAGAGGGGCAGAATTACGATGAGAAGCTCAATGCCTAATTCGAACTTTCTAGGAAGGCAAGTTTAGAGGATATGTACTGCCAGTAGATGTATGTGGCGAGGGTTCCTTGGGGTCTACCATGAGCAGCATGCGGAAATCCTAAGCGGCTAGCACAAGCCACATTGTTGATGATATGGGGTTACTATCGGGTTTGTCCAGGTCCGCGAGCATGATGGAGAAGGATGGGCGGCAAGGAGCACAAGCTAGACAACTGCATCAACCCACTAAAGCCACCCAATTCTGCAGCCTACCCAGGGTCAAACTGACACTTTTGTTTCAAAGCCAACATCAGAGTAGAGAACCATCAAGTCCAATGTTGCTAAGACTGTAAAAGAAGCACAACATGAATGCGACTAAGAAGTTCTTCTATGATTCCACCATCCCTTTTAATGCAACCAACAAAGAATACTACAAGCCCATGATACCCACAATAGCTAATATAGGCCCTAGAATCAAGCCCCCAGCGACTTACGAACTCAGTAGGCCCTGCTTCGATGAGGTGACAGAGGTTGGCACGTTTGCGAATGAATACAAGTTAATGTAGGAGAGGGGTGACCGTCACATTAAATGGCTAAAAGGACATTAATTGACAACATTGGTTAATTTCTTGGTAAATGTCCACAAGGGCATCTTCCATAGCAATGTGGATGCTTCTAATAAGGTGAAGAGCAGGAAGCTATTATTCAGGCTACTCGATGATGTGGTAAGGCTAGTGGTGAAAGTAAATAATTTAAGTAATAACGTACTATGCCAAGAACTACGTCAATGTAGAAAAGAGGCTGATGAGGAAAAGGAAGCATTTGGCATGGTGTCCTTGTGCTCCCCGCCCCCCATCGACCTCATGACATTGGGCACCTTACGTAAAAGACTATCTTGAGAAGGAAAAGACCATTACTAAATTCACATACAACCGTTCACCAGTATTAAATTTGATTAGACAGTAAAGAAAAAGCTAAATGGGTCAGCCATCTCACCATGTGCTACTTCATTATTGTCAATCGATACAATATTGAGGCAGGGAGTTGGCTTTCCAAAGACAGTTGTCAAAAGAATGGATCAATACCCTTACTTCAAGGACACAGGATGTAAGAGAAGTTAGTATAATATATTACAAGAGATTCTAGGATAGATGTGAGCAGATTGTAGTAGCAAGAGCTCCTCTAGTAGCAGTTTACAAGATGGCAAACTCTGATAGAAAGCCTGTTGTGAGGTACTTGTATGAAGCGATTGATTGTGCAAAACAAACCACCAAAACTACATGCACATTCCATCAAAAAGTAAGGGAGATAATTGATTGATGGAATAACCTGTTGTGCTGACCAATGCCATAGCAGGTAAATGGTTCAATAGTTAAACATTGAACAGTTATAGCCATTTGGATTTATAATGTTAATTATAAGTTTATGGTTTATGATTTGTGAGTTTGGATTATAGATTTATGGTTTACAACCATGAGACCTTGGATTATAAGTGTGTTACCAAGATTTCTTCTTCAACCTGATAAACTTCCAGCAAGAGATTTGAGTGAGATGGAAAAGTGTAGATTAAAGCTCTGGAGGAGGTAAGAAAGATTTTTTTTTTTCGTTTTTTATTTTAATGAAGAAGTGAGGGATTTTTTATAGTTTTCCAACTTAAAGCACTTACGATTCATGTAATCCCGATTTGTAAACCACTAAACCTCTCTTCTCTTTTCAGCTCTCCCCATAGAAGGATACAAAAGGGAAGTTGGCAACAACCCTTGCTACAAGATACTGGACTTAGCTGGATCCAGGTTGGCTTTCAAGTTCCTAGATGCCTATACTAGTACATTGTAGATTATGTTATTGCCATTTGAGTCCTTTCTTATGCGTTCCTTCTCCTTTTTTAACAAAGTGGTGGGAAATACATGGTACTAGGGCTCCCTACCTACAAAACATTGTAATGAACGTGTTCAGAGGTATGAATGATACTGGCGTACATTCAAGCGGATCCAAATCACAAAGAAGAATAGGTAAGGCTGTAGCCATGCTTCATTTTTATTTTATTATTTTTTTTGGCCAAGCTTTATAAATTTGTCTACATCCATTACAACACAAACCTCCAAGCAGTGGTTGAGGAGGGAAGCAAATGACCATGAACTTATCAATTTGGAACACACTTTTGTAAAGGAACCAATAGAGAAGTGGTTGGCCAAAAGAGGATCCACTTCTCAATAAGAGGAGACTGGAAAAAGAATTGGGGCCCATCAAAGAGGAAGGAAGGACTGAAGATGCAATAGTTGGAGGAGGTGTATAAGTTGAGGAGCATGATGGGAGCAAGAACCAAGGGTCATTAGCATTGGGGACTTTTGGTTGGGAGGAGAAACAAAAGTTACCCAAACATCAAAGACATCTATGAATTGTTATGGAGATAATCAAGATGCCCATGATTGAGATGTCTATGACCCTCCTTGTCATTCAAATTGGCAGTAGGTTGATTATTTTACAAGTTTATTTGTAATTTGGACTGCTAATATGAATTTAGGCCTAACACAATAGCAATTGATAACCGTCTATAAGTTTTCTATTGTTTTACTATACATAAGAAAATTTCTTTTTTTTATTTCTTCAAATTTCACATTTCCAAAAAATTTCAGCATTTTTTTTTCAATTTTTTGTGCTTCTTTGGCAACCTAGTCAAGGTGGCTCAAGATTTGTTGAGCTGATTCGGCCTGCCCCACCTAAGTCCAGACTCCATTCCGAATTTAAAAATATTGTAGAATCACATGCCATCTCATGCTTAAACCTAGGATACCTAAGCAGACATACACAACTCACCGACTGAGGAACTTCAGGCTATTCAACAATAGAGACTCACCATATACGATAAATAAAAAAGGGTGAAAATACAAAATAAAGGACTAAAAGAATATAAGGGACTCATCACATAGACAAACCCAAACATAAGATTTTCATTGAAGTGACAAACTCAAAACATATAAAGGAACCAAAAGGCAGAGAGGGAAAGACAGAGAGAGAGAGAAACCCATGGCAGAAAGAAAATAGAACAAGAAGGAAACTCCAAAATTCGACAAATTGTGTAAAAATAAATTATAAATAACATTTTATAAAGTGAATGTGTAAAAAGCTCAACCTCCCAATCCATAAAAGGGAAAAAATGTAAAAGCTCAAGTGGATATTGGACATATTGATTTAAGCAAAAACAGAAAATGAGAATGAAACAGGAAGCAACAAAATGACCCACACATTGATACATCATTTTCTACTAAAATAATAATAATCTGAATACCTAAATTAACATAAGCTGGATTCCCAAACCTAGACTACGACTCTGTCCCTATGCTTCCAAATTTGAATATAGTCCAAAAGTAAAGTGAAATGAAAACCTATGAACAAAAACCATCCTCCTGCTATACAAGGCAATCGTGGTTTTCTTTGCAAAAATCCAATTGTTACAAAAACCAAACACCACAATAATTTATTGAAATACCCAATAAATCTATGAGAGAGAAAATCATCAAAACAAGAAACAGTTGAAATGTGGATAATTCCCAACCAAACTAAGATCTGATTTAAAACACTAAAATTCACAAAACAATGGACGAACTAAATTTTAAATTAAATAAAAAAATCCCATCACAGCATTAAAAATTCAATAACTAACTAAACCACTAAACATCTGATATAAACAGAAGACCAATTTTTGTATAACGAATAAAAAAAAAACAGTGGCGATAAGAATTAAGTAAGAAACACAACAGATATCAATATACTAATTCTAGATCCATGAGCAAACCCTACGAACCCTATTTCTCAAACTATGGCAATCGATTCCCCACAAAATTCAGGAAACATCAAAGGACTAAATCATTAGCCATTTCAGAACAAAATAGATGTAGAAATAACTCAATCGATTCGATAAGGCTTGTATAATGGAGACGCAAAATCTTGATATATCAGATAAGAAAGTAAGCAACCTGAATGAGCCAGATGGCACCAGCAGTTGCAGCAATACCCCATGTCATGGCCGCTGTGATATCAGTGGATTGAGGGCGAAGACGAGGTGGAATAGACTTCATGAGCCCAGATTTTCCAGCCATCTCAGAGAAACCCTATGCTTCTCTCTCTCTATAATTTCTCTCGCTTCTCTCTGCAAAAACCACGAGGGCGACGATGACGTGAAATTCTTGTTAATATAACATGCGGGAAGAAATTTTTGGGTGCCCTTTTGTTATTAAAAATGATTTTAAGACCCTTCAAATAATTCTCACCCGATGGTACATCAGGGAGCGTAGTTTTTTTTTTTTTTCAAAATCACTTTTCAGTCAACCCCATTTTTTATATATTTTTTTAATGTTTTTTTAGTTTTTCATTAGTAATACGGTGCTGGGGACCACCCTAGTGAAAAATTAAAAAAAAGATCAAAATTCGGATTAATCAAAAAATAATTTTCAAAAAAAATAAAAAAAATATGAGTTGACCGACCTTCTTTATAATTACTTCTTATAAATATAACATTTTTGTATTTTTTTTTAAAGATCTACATATAAATCACTTTAACATAGGAGTAAATTGTGTGGCAATAGGCTGAGTAGTGGGGCTCCAAATGAAACTCAAGCGTGGATCGCATGAAGATTGGTTTGGGTTGGGCTACCACGGGCCAGTTGGGTTCGGGCCCAGACCTAGTTTTCTTTTGGCTTTTTTTAAATAAAAAAAATTATAATGCCCTTGACAAGTTAGGGCTTGCCCCTGGCCACCTTGGCAAGCCAGGGCCTAAGTAGGGACCCAAGGTGGGCCAGAGCAGCTCTTGCTTGCCTAGCCTTACCCTAGGCTAAGGCTTTTAGCCGGGAAGCTAAAAAATAAGATAAGCTTGTAAATTTCAATTTTAGTCAAAATTCCCAAAGAAAACTCATATTCATTGTGGGATTTGTAAGGCTTCCCTTTTGCAGTGCATTATTTCAATATTGAACACTCAGCCTATTGCAACAAAACTCAATTTGGTTGAGTTGATCATCCAACCCACAAAATCAAAGTAGATCGCATTAATCCAAACTAGCAATCTAGAAGAATAAAAATAAATAAATGAATTAAAAATTATTTTGTTTTATTTTTTATTTTTTTTGGGTGTAGGGGAGGTGGCGGAGAGAATTTTTATAAGAGCAAAAAAAAAACTATGAACCGGGGGTTTTAGGGGTAAAGGGTTCCAATACCAATACCTTTCCATAGCCAGTTCTGTCCCGGCCAACTCTTGATGGAACCCGGGATTCTTGATCCAGATTGGTGGGGTTTAAAATACCGAGTCAATTTATTTGCTTTTTAATCCAAAATTTTACCTTTTTATGAGGTATTCATGTGATTTACTCGACACTCATGGTATGCTTCATGACCGTGTTTTATGATGCGAACTTTCTTGAGTACCTATATATTTTGTTGTTAGCAAATAGGAAAATGAGTATTTTTAATAGGAAATCTTTCAAACACCAATACACTTATAAATTATATAGCACTTTACTTATTAGCTGTTCGATTTGAATGGGTGGCTATGATTACTTATGTCACAATGTCAGGAGTCATAACAAAAGACTATTTAGTTTTTACTTTTATTTTTTCTATAAAACCTCTTTAAATGGAATTTGGGGTGTCCCATCTTCTTACTGGGGCACCTAACAAAAAAAAATTATCATCAAACAAATGGCTTTAACATAGTTTTTGAAAATTATTATATTATATTATTATAGAAAAAGTTTATATATAGAGCTAAAGCTCTAAACAATCAAATTAGAACCTACCTCAAAAATTTCACCAGAAGAGGTTGTTTTGATGTCCAAATATCTTCAAGTTTATCATATCGATGTCAATATGCATGGACATGAGAAAAACATAGATTTCAAATATTTGAAATAATACATCTTGTAACACATTTTTTGACCATTAATTTTCAAGATCTTCATAGATCTGCTCGATCTACACTATTTTTTAAGCTTTAAATTTTATAATTAAAGATGAAAATATATTTTAAGGCTATCACAAAGATTTCTAGTATTGAAATCACATTTTTTGATACTATTTGAAGGTGCGCTTTATTTTGATTGTTTAGAGCCTCAGCTCTCCCCATTAAATAGATCTAGACAACTTTATTTTTATAAGTGTAAATTGTATAAAGCTGAGGCCCTAAACTAGTGTAGGAAAAATCGGGTGGTTCAAATCGTAATTGCCTAGTTAGATCGGAACCAGCCATTAGTCGGTTCTGGTGGCTGGTTCCGGTTTCGGCAAGTTTTGAGGAACAGGCTGGGTATTTAAAAAAAAATCAAAAAATTTATATTAAATATCAAAAAATAAGTGAATTTGTTTGTACTGTATTTTTTTTTAATATTTTTAATCATTCTACCAACTATTGAAAATTGTTTTGGCCATTAATTCTTATTTTTATATTTTTATAAAATTTTAAAAATACCCATGGGCACAAATCGATTATTTAAAATACATTTTTTCATTAATTTTCAACTTTATTTGGATGTGTTTTGTGTAATCATGCTTTAAATATATATTTTATATTTTATTTTATGTTTTTTGTATTTTTTTAGCACTTTTTTGACCGCGCTGGACTTGCCTGGGTAGGCTATTTGAACTGGCCGGTTTACCGGTTAGGCCGATTAAACCGCTTACGGCCCCATGTCTGGTTAACCATACCGGTTAACAATTAAAGTAAGAGGCACCTTAAAATAGTGTCGAAAGATGTCATTTTAGTACCGAAGATTTTTATTACAGCCAGAAAATTTATTTTCATCTCCAATTATAATTAAAATTCCAAAAATATTGTGGATCAAGTAGATTTACGAAAGTCTAAAAAACTTAAAAAATTAACGGTCTGGATAAAGTATTACAATATACACTATTTCCATTACTTTAAGTCTTGTTTTTTTAAGATAAATTTATGTACGTCCACTATTGGGGGGTTGATTGCAAAATGAGATCACGTTTGTCCAAATTATGGACGAGACACCCCACGACTTTTTTCTTTCTAAGTTGCCCTCTTATCGGCAACGCAAATACCGGATACGAGGAGGGGTATTTTTTGTCAAAATAAAAAAAATTGTCTGATGTTCAAAATGTCGGATAGCTCTATATACCTATGATAGGGTTAGAGAGAGGAAGAGGCATCTCTCTAAATACATCGAACCAAAAATCCCCAACCTTTTAATGTGTGCAACCCTTTCTAGTTGCCACCAATGCAAATCCTGCACCCCGGTCCATTCCACAATATGTTACATTTAAAGAGATTACAAGCCCTTGGCTCACCCTTCCCAAAAAGCCCCTTAAAAAAAAACAAAAGAAATAAAATCTAAAAAACAGAAGATATAGAGACGAAGAGAGAGAAAAACTAACATAAAAAAATCAAAGGATTTTCTTCTTTATTTTCTCAGTATATAGAGAAGAGAGAAAAAACATTTTATTTTTTTTGACAAAGAGAGAATAGAGAAAAGACATTAAAACACCAAAGTTGATAATTTTTTTCTCCCATAAGAGAAGAGACGAAAGAGATAAAATAAAAAAAAAGCTTACACGGAGAAAATAGGTGGTGTTTATTCCTCCTAGTAAAAGAGAAGAGCTCCCTCCCTGTAAAGGCGAATGAAGAGAGAGAAATATATGATAGAGAAAAGATACAGAAGATAGTTGGGCAAAGAGATGAAGCTTTTTTTCACCTCCAAAAATCCTCTCTCTCAAACTCCTTCCTCCTTAGAACGCCCTCTCTTAAATGGGTATTCCATAGACGCACAAAGGATCGATAAAAACGGGATCCCCACTTGCAAAAAACCTCCTTCTCTCTCTAAAACTTTTCTCTCAAGCTCCAACATCTTTCTTTGTATGTTTTCCTCTCTCTCAAGCGCTTCTATGCTATGATTACTCTATCTCTCTCGTCTAACTACTCCCTCTCTCAAGTACCAATATCTCTATTTCTCTCTCTACCTTCTTATCTGGTTTAGCTTCAATCTTCGAGAGAGCTGTCCAGTAATTCAATTACCGGACAACTCTTTTATTTTGAAAAAAAATTAGCTCTTATTTTGTTGGATATTTACCTTATCGGATAGGAGGGCAACTTAGGAAAAAAAAAAGCCACTGGCGGAAGAAATCAGTCTAATACTGTTAATTTTGTCCTATTGCAATTGTTTTATATTTATTTGAATTAAGGGATGTCCAAATGGGGAGAATACCCCTCATCCAAATCATTGTTTACAAATCCCATGCATTCTAACTTGATATTATCCTGGTCACTCGATGAGCTATTAAATGGTATGAATGCTACCAATCATGGTTTTAAGAACCAATTATTTTCGGAAGTGGGAGTGAATCTGATTTGATGGAACCGGCGGGGTTTTGTTAGGGCATTGGGTGATTAGGTCCAATACTTGGATCTCACCCTACAAAAATTGGACGATTTTCATTAAATCGTGAGACTGTTGTTTTCAAGTGCGTAAATACTGTGATTTGGAAACTTTTTTTTTTTTGTAACTAAGATTAGTACATGAAGACGTTAGATCCCCAAAATCCGGGATCCTTAAAAAACTACTAAATTGTGTTTTATCATAGAGAGTAGATGGATAGTACTGCGCTTGTGGGAGCATTGATCCTTTAGCTGGTGGGATTTCACAATTGGAGGAGTATACACTTCAATGGTGTATTATAGACAATACTCCCATATTACATTTTCCATTAATATTAGTTTCGTGTTTTGGGGTAAATAAGTGAGGGACATGGCCCCACTTGTTTTAATTAATAAAAATGGAAAAAATACATATCATATATTTATAACCCTATAATATAGCACTTTGTGGCATGAAGTAAAGAAACATAAATAAAATTTGGTTGTCTAGATCACCAAATTGTAGCATCAGATGAATATGTAGCCTTTTTGGTAAGTATATCCACTACCATGTTGGCCTTACAATATATGTGAGAAACGGTCCACCTACAATCTAAAAGGTTATGTTGGCAATTGGCTGCTACAGTATGGAGTATCCATTGAGCTCTACAGTCATCTTGAATGATATTGACAAGCAATGATGAACAACTTTCAATTCAAAGTGGGATACACTTGAATTGAATGCCCTAATCAATACCCTCCTTAAGAGTATATAATTCCGCATAGTTATTTGATGCAATACTAAAAGGTGTGACAAAAGCAACGATAAGGGCACAATCACCATCTCTGATGACACCACCACCTGTTATTCTTGGGTTTTAAAAGGAAGGCTTACCAACATTGAGATTAAAAGTTGAGGGTGAGGAAAAGACCTAACAGATGGAATAGAGGTTTTAGTTTTTTGGTGGCATCGTGGAATCTATAAATTTTCACTTATTGTTTTTTTCGATATATGGAAGGCCCAAGATTTCGCATCTACTAAATCACAAACTTCTATTTATTTTAGTAGGACCACAATAACTTTCTTTAGCATTAACTTGGATCCTCAATAGAAACATAACTCCAGACATCGTGGCACCATGACATTCTGACCTCTCTATAAATGGTGGGAAATCCCTTTCAACATGAATGACAAAAGTCCTTATAAGCTTCATTCCAACTAATGTCTAGAAAAGATAATGCAATGCCATGGATGCACAATAGTTCGTTCGACTCTCGTAATCAACATATAACATTTTTTCTCTAAATATCACATGCTTTAGGGGACAAAATGTATATTTGCTCTCTCAAGCAAAACCCCTAGCTAGAGTATTCATAGGACCCCAGATAATTGGTATGTGGCCTAGACACGGTACAAACTGTACCTTGAAACTTTTTTAAATAGAAGTGCCTAAAAAATTCTGGCCTAAAGGTTTAGGCAAAGGATATTATAGGGAGTGTACTGCTATTTACTCTATCCGGTAAAACCCCGCTTAGGATTAGTTTTGGGACCTTAAATTTTGGGGATATAACCTATTTAACATGTAGATTAACCTCAATAAAAAAGATAAGATATCCTAATTGTACCTTATAAGCACCTAAAAAATAATATTTCATGATTGAATAAAACCATCCAATTTCCAGAGGATGAGATCTTAGTATTAGAGAACTCAAATTTCATTTTTTTTTTGAAAAGAATCATCTAGTTAAGGTGGTTACCAAAATTTCTAATCGAAAAAATCCTCCTAAGTAAGGAAAAAGTTTATATAAGGATGCAACCTTATAATGTAGAATTACGGATACACCTAAAAATCCATCGGAAAAGGTAGTTTTAATGTTGAAAAGCCTTTTGATTGATCATCTCAACATCGAGATGTATGACCATAAAAGTTAAAAAGATTTTAAGTCTAAAATAATGCATTTTACAACATATTATCTACACCGTCCATTTTCAAGATTTTCATATGTTTATGGATCTACTTGATTTTAACCATTTTTGAAATTTAAAATTTTGTACTTAGATATAAAATAAAATTTGAGATAATCCCCAAAAACATTTTACATCAAAATTATATATCATGATAAAATTTGAAGGTGCACCTTACCTCTATAGCTACGGATGCATCCAAATGTGAACTGCACTCTAAGTAAATCGCCTCATTGATGAACTAGAAGTAAAGTATACTCCTAAAGGGGCATAACGTACATGCTCAAAGATATATCATAGAATATATAGTCATGGAACGATTGTGATAAAACAAAACCTTTTTTATTAGTTTTCGAAACTATGCACAACATGAGGTGTATTCGAATGATATCGAACTATATAAATTTTTGAATAGTCGAATTTACCTATATAAAAGTTCGCCAAACTTTTCTTGTTATTTTTTACAACTTATTTATCGGTACGACTTTAAAGTGAATTCAAAGAAGAGCGCGCCTACTATGCTCCCTCAATCAAAAGACATATCTATATAGAAAATGACTTGTGAGACTCTTCAATATTCTAGGATTTTAAATGATCATTATTAAATTTGATATTATTTTTTTAAAAAGTCAACTCTTATAACAATATAAAATTTTTTTAAAAAATATGTGTTAAATTTAATGATAATTATTTGAGATCCTCCCCACATAGGAGTGGATGTGGGGAAGGGCCTCAATCAAACCTAATTTTTTTTGGCCACGAAGCTTTGTGTACCAGAGGGATTTAAATGGACAGTATACTCTTCTGGGAGTATACAATCTTTTGGCTTCAAAGAAAAGCCTTCGTAAAGCCGTCCTTTGCCCAAGGGAGCAAATTCACAACTTGCTCCCGCGCGCAGGTACACCCGCCTAAATAGTTATCCTGTACTTAATTTCAGAAGCAAGGGCTCCAGAGATGGGAATTTGTTTTACAAAAGAGGGAAAGAACCCTCATCTACAAATGCCCATATGCAGATGCCATCATCTGTTATTTATGGAAGAATAGCAGGTGCTATAGTGATGCTCTCTTCTTGCTTTCCAAACCCTAGAATCTCCACCATTCTTCTCACTAAATCAAGATCCCCCATTTCAAAGTCTCTCTCTCTCTACTACCCCGAGGACCCATGTCCAAAACCAAAGAGAAAAATGGTATTTTCCCCTGTTTCTCACTCTAGAGCTTTTCATTGCACCAATACAATGAAAAGCATTCCATTTCCTGCTGAAAGAACCAAAATTTGTAGAGAGAGAAAGAGTGATGAGGGATCCAAACTTGACGGAGAGAGTGAGAGATTTCTCCAGCCCCTCGTCGTGGTCTCTTTCTACAAGTTTGCTGACTTTCCAGACCATGCTCAGATGCGCCTGCCATTGAAGGAGCTGTGTGAGCAAGAGGTTAGTACTACTTATATGATTGTTTAATCTATAGTTCTCTCTTTCTAAACAAAATTACTCCCTCTCTTTCTCTTTTGCATGCATTTGGTTTATGGGTCTATGATATTCTGGAGTTGGGTTTCTTTGGTACGAATTTTGGATAGTTTTGCTATTTATTTGTGATCAATTGACTAGCTATATTGTTCCATTCCATTTTACTAATTCTGCTTTATAGTTCTCTCTCTATCCCATATCTCTGTATTTGTTTGTTCAGTTTCTACTGAACTCGGGTTTTTTTGAGGATGGGATTTCTGCTACTTGATCTTAGAACTCCATTCTTTATTGGGTCTAAGAGACTTTTACTAAGCAATGTTTACGATTCAATATTCACAATCCCACCTTAGCCTATCTTTAAACACAAAGTATCACAACACATTTTAATGGATTATATGGCAAAGGACCGCTCGATATATTTTTTATATGTGTTTCATGAGCATTATTTTGTTCGGTAAAGAGTGAGTGGGAGTAGGCCTTTGGGTTTGGGCTAATTAATTCACAGGTTTATAATGCATAATTGTGTTGATGTGGAAAAGGTTTTCGCAATTTGAGGATAGGGTTCGAGTTCGAGATTGTTTAAGAGTAGTTAGTATGTACTTAGTGTAGTTTTATCCTTGCCACTCCTAAGTAGGATATTTTTGTGTCTTTTAAACATGGAATTTAAGTTCCAGTAGACTTAGACTCTCATAATTTATATTTCAATATTTCATAACCTCCAATGCTTTATCAAAAATGTTGGGAGCCAATGCTGCGATACTCTCTAATTTGTAATAACTTATACAAAGTTGTAAAAATGCAAGGGGATATAAATGATCGGAATGATTTCTACAAGATAGATCATGCAAACGAAGCTAAGTTTGTTGTAATGGAAAATGCAGGTTAAGTACCACAAAACTCTAACATCTGTTTAACATGACTCCCTTTTAGTATTAACTATTAGAAAGATTTTCCTAATTCATGACCTCTAATAATTAACAAAAAAAATGTCCTCAAGGAATATAAATTATGCAAGAGCCTATTACATATGAGATAACCGGATGCTTTTAAATACAAGAAGTATGTCATAGTCATAGGGATTATGGTATATGGTAGTCCAAAGGTTCCATCCACTCTTCATGTTGTCGTGGCAAAGAGGTCATCCGCCATGCACCCTGGAGTCTCAAACCAATTGGTCCTGATAATCACCTAATGAGTATGCCAAAAATTAAAGCAAAAATCAGAATATAGAATGAGAGCCCCCCCATAAGTAGAGGAAAAAACAATGAACAGATAAGCAAAAGATATTATGTGGTTTGTCACAATGTATGTCTACATCCACTGGCAAATGATTGAGCGAGTGATTTTAGTAGTTACATGGCAGATTAGGAATCTACCCACAAGTCTATGCAGGGTCAACTGGCCTATTCATCTTTTGCTTTCTTGCTTCTCTTCTCTCTTATATGCATCCCTATTTAAGCATTCTATAATGGACCAAGAAAGTATAAAGAAGTGAGAACACTGAGGCATTTACGACCTCTGTAGGTTTTTCTCTCTTTTGTTGCTTTTATGCAATTTCTCTCAAACCCCAAAATAAAGGAACTAAAATTGCCTTTCGATGATTTTTCATCACCCAAAGGCAACATCCCACCTTGATGACAACATCACCAGTCTTGTCATATGCCAATTTATTTATTTTTCTTTCCCCTCTTTGTGAAACCAAAAGCAATATGTACTTCCAAACCCCGAGAGCAAAACTTGAAGGGGTGAGGAAGGGATTGCTGTGAGTTTGTGTGCTTTGCTTTCTGTCTGCCTATGTGGTTATTCCGGTATGGAGCCAGCCGTCGACAATATAGCTATCACATGCCCGAGTCACCGCAATATCTGAGGTAGGGGCACAGTGCCTTGGCAAGTGTCCAACCCCCAGTCCAGAGGTGATTGGCGAGGAGCCCTCTTCGGTCTCGTCAATCCCTTTGTCCCTCTGTCAATATGCCAGAATTAGTAGATATATAATAACCCTTCCCAACAAGGTTAGAATACCCTTAGCATAGAGAGGTGGAGCCAGATTGGATTTGCCGCTGCGAGATCATAGTCTCCTTTTCTGACAGGTTCCAAGCCAAAATCTCTAGTTGATTAGTCTTTCTGAGCATATGCAATTACTTTTTTTTTTTTTTGTTACCCACTGTCAATAGTTGAATTTCACCATCTTCGATTGCCTTGCTAATATAGTGGTGTATGATTGGTTCTTTTTTATTTGGCCAAGTGAATGACACTAGTGCCATTGCAAAGAATTTCATGAGTTTGTAAAACATGCCAACCTTGCCTATTAAACCTTGGACACATACTACTTATTTGCATGCTTCTGATGGTGCTATGTACTTAGCCTCAGGAGTTGACAATGTTATTATTCATTCAAGCTATGACATCCAACTTGTGGATCCAGTCACAAAGCACAATAGATATCCCATGCATCACCGTTATATTTGCAAGGCAGTTGAAGATTGGTGAAATTCAACTATTATGGACAGAGAAAGAGTGAAAGAAGGGAGCATGCTGGTTTCTTTTACTCGGCCTTATAAATTCTAAGTCGACTGCTATACTGCCATGCTATCAATAAAATAACTGGTTCTTTGCCACTATACCATGGACATAGTCACTAGTCACACACTATGATTGACGTCATAATGTCTTGAGTTTTGCTTATGGTTGTGCTTGAATTATGTAGCTTTGATTGTGCTGTAAATTTTTGCACCATTATTGGGTGAATTCTGTAAGTCATTGGGACCAAGTGGTTTGTGGTGTCAGGGATCATGATCCCCCGGATGGATGGTTTGAGACTAACTATAGTGCCCAGCAGGGCTAAAGTGCAGTGTCTGAATTCACCCATGCACAGTTAAGCTCCAACCATCCATCAACAAGAATGGGCAGTGAGTATAACCTTGAATTACCATCGATTGTGGTTTATATATATATATATATATATATATATATATATATATATAGTAAGTAATTA